CCCACTGAATGGCAGTGCAGCCTTCCGGCGTATCAGCCACTCCTCCCAGTTTTGTGTCATCAGCGAACTTGCTGATGGTACACTCTGTCCCCTCGTCCAGGTCATTGATGAATAAGCTGAACAAGACTGGGCCGAGTACCGAGCCCTGGGGAACGCCACTAGCTACCGGGATCCAACTGGACTCTGCCCCGCTGATCAGAAAACCCTCTGACCTGCCATTCAGCCAGTTCCCAATCCACCTCACTGTCCACTCATCCAGCCCATACTTCCAAAAAAGGAAGTGCAGCTGTTGTGTCTCCAGCTGCAGAAAATCACCTACAGTCCTGGGAATGATGCTGCTTGCAGGCAAGAGAGAGGTGCGCCCTTCCTCGGTTCGAACAGGTGGCGCTACACCACCACCTCTAGTTACAGCATCTTCCTTACACTGAAACCTAAGTGCAGTGATGAACACAGCAAGCAGCGAGCCGTGCTGAAAATTAAACAGCATTTTTATTACGATTATTCTGTCAAGGCTTGATGGACTGAGCAGTTAGAAGAAATGCACTCTGTCAGTTACATAATTCCAGATAAAAATATCGTAATCATTCCGAAAAATACTTTTTTTTGCTCTACAAGTAAAGCAAAGGACCTTTATTACAGGAAGAGTCATACTTGTAAGCCATCTGAACCGGGCAGGTTTCAGCTAAATTTCTCATCGTCGAGTTTTAGAACTTCATAAAAGGAACTTGGAGCGGTTTTTCTGCTGCACGCTTCAGGGCCAACGCGTAAGTATAAACCCTGGCATCCACTGCAATATGTTCTTCTGCTATGGAGGTCTGGGGGGGGGGGAGAAGAGAAAAAGAAAAGTATGAGATGCTGTTAAAACTCTTCCTCTACAGAAATGCAAGCCCTTTACTAAAATGAAGACTTGTAGCATTCCAGACCTGAATTCTCAATGCCAACACCGAATGCTATCACTGACTCTGTTACCTGGCCAAGTCTCTCAGAGCTTTTTGTTTAAGATACAGTATTCCAGGGTCAGAAATGCCCCAAGGAGCTATGAGAAGGGTTTCCTGAAGCTCACATCAGTGCACTGAGTGTGTCAGGAAGCTCTTACCATCAATTCTTTGCAGTAGGTCGTTCTTTGGAAGTGAAATAACTTCCATGAATTCTAGGAGAGAAGAAAAAAGTTATGCGCCTTTAATTTAGCAAACAGTAGAGGAAGTCTACTGAAACAGCGTCCTGTTTCTTACAACTTGGAAGGGGGAACAAACTGGCTTAATGCTCATCACCACCCCAAAGCCGCCACGCATTACAACAAGGCTGATTACATGGGGGAAGGCAGAGACTGGGGTCATTAAAAAACATATTTGGTAGAAAGAAAGTGGGAAAGAGCTGGGAAAAGACACAGTGTAGCTGACAGCTTTGGGGGACAAAAATCCTCCTGAAAGGAGACCTTCTCCCTTCTGAGAACAGAACACATGCTGTTAAGTGGACTTTGGCTTGGCTTATACTGGTACAGTAACGGACTGCAGATGCACCTGAAGACCAAACCAGCACAGAGGTTTTGTTCTTGATGAATTTGTGTGGACTTACACCTGCCCTGCCAAGCTGAATGAGCTGTCTCTGGGGCTTGATCTGTGGCCATTGTGGATTCAGCAGTTTGTATTTCACAGAGACTCTGGTGCTCTAGGTGCAATACCTGAAGATCACAGATGCGATAAAGCCCCGCAGGAATTTTCATGTCCAGGCCAAAGGCAATCTCATGCATGTTTGATTAGGTCAGGAGATTAACCAAGCCCCAATAAAAACCAGCATTAACTGACATTTCCTAAGTACAACTTGCCCTACGAAGATCACACTTGACCTTACTGTCACTGTGAGCACAGCTACGTAACGTACCTCCATCATCTGCAAGGAAAAAAGAAAAAGTAAGTTAAGAATTTTGAAATACGCTTGAGTTTACAACTAAAAAGCACTTTGATGGCTGACTGATCATGTGTGCACTGTTGTTGCTTCCAGGGTCAAGCCCTAAGAGGAACACCTGGGTTCACAAGTGGTTATGGCTCTTGCTGAGGTTTGGCACCTGAATTTCTCATTCTGGGCTTGCCAACACCTGACACTTAACATCTGGGCCTCCCCAGTGACTTCAGCAAAGAAACACAGCTCTGCTTATCAAGGCTGCAGGACCTACAGCCCCTGAATCAGCTGGGACAGAAGAGATGCAGTGGTGGGGTAGTGCTTTTAAACCGACTGCTTTGTTCTCAGAATTTTCAAATAAGCAGTACAAAACTCACCAAGTTTTTGCTTAGGTCTTGTATTCTCAGCCTCATCTCCATTAATGGTGACGCTCACAATGTGTGTCGTGCTGTTTGACAGACCTGGGTCCAAGCAGAGAGCTGCCAACAAGGACATGTAGAGGTTAATTTTTCAAAAGCAGAAGTCAGGGGCCTTGACATTTTAACAAAAGCTTTCACAAAAAGGTATCTGATACAACAGAAGAACATATATTCGGCAGAAGGTCATGCTGGAAGAGTTGTGAAAAGTTTGGTTTCACGTGTTCTTAAGTCATGTTTCTGCCACTCTCAGCTCTTTTACAACTGCCTTCTAAGACCTGTTTTCAGCACCAAGGTTTACTTTCCATTCCACAGACTGAAGATTAAAGTGTAAACTGTAGTTCCCTTATAGACTTCCTCGGCCCGTCAGAGTCTAACTTGGCTATCACCTCTTGCCACCCCTCTCGGTCCCCAGCACGCAGCTGTACCGGATAATCAAGAGCCAAGTCTCAACCATAATGACATTTACTTGAAATCATAGGCAAGTTGCCTCACCTTTCTACCCACCTTCTCAAGTTTTATTTATTATCCTCATTTTGCCTTAATGTTGCTTTATGTAGGAAGCATTGGATTGGCAACAATCACGTTCCAAAGGATCTCTGGATTTACTACAGTTATTCTTTCCTTTCTGGTTGGAGAACCTGGGTACCGTCACCTCCCCACAGCAGCCATGAGGGTGACCTCCACTTGGACTGCATCATGCTGCTATTTTTCTTTCTACCTAAATTCACAGATGTTGTTCACATTAAGTCCAGCAATTTAGATCTTTATACCAACATGCCAAGTCACAGCCTGAATAACTGGGTTTTGTGTAAAGGGTCTTAATAGCAAAGTCATCCCCTGTAGACATCAAACCATTACTTCAGTCCTGCGTGTTTAACAGGAGTTCAGCATCTGAGGTGTAGAGGACCAAAGCCTCATTGGGACAGCCATGGGATAGGACTCTGCTAACCTGCATAGACTTTTCTGCATAGTTTTTTCTTTGGTTTTGAGCATTTTAGACATTTAGAGCGCCCATCACAGACAGAATTAGCTTTGGAAAAATAAATAAAAAAAAAAAAAAAAAGCAAAGACCTGGAGTACATTCAACGACTTCCCCCTTGTACCCAGTTTCTTCCTCCAACTCTCGCAATGCCGCACTTTCTGCAGTCTCATTTTCCTCAATAAGGCCTGTAAGAGAAATAATACACAAAAATAATTAAAAAGTTAGCACTTAACCACAATACCCATTCCCAAGATCTAATCCAGCTTTACACAAGGTGAAAAATGGCCACTGCCCTATTTTTACAGAGGGATAAACTGAGGCGTTAGGAAGGACTCCAGTTCCAGGATTCATCACGCTGCTGCCCTTGTCTTCAAAGGACCACCTACAGGAGCATGCGACCTTCCACAAAATGGCATTAATATTTTCATCAGGGAAAGAAGCCAAATGCTTTGGCTCTTACAGAAAGGAGGGGTGGAGGGAAACGCAATATTCTACTAACAGGCTACACTGCACAAAATGTCTCCAATCTGCTAAAATGAACTATGTTTATTTTGTATTCTTCATGACCAAATATTCCTCTTTCTGAACAGCTCACCACCACTGTTTTCTGCTTGGAGCTACATCACCAAGACTGACACTCCAAGCACATCTGAACACACTTAACTGTCAGCTTTATGCGACTCATCTTAATGTTTAGTCACTCACCTGCAGGAAATTCCAAGCAATAGCCGTTAATTGGGGGCCTGAACTGTTTCACTAGGACAATGCAGTCGTAGTGGAGAGTTCTCTGTAGTACAGCTATCACTGCTACACCTACAAATAGCAACGGAAGAGACAAGCACATAGGATTTGAGTATAGCAGAAGGTGAGTATTTAGTGCTAGATCTGGAAAGGAACCCAAGTACTGTTACTCTGAGCATTAAACATTAAATGCCTGCTCCAGAATCCTGACCTATGAATTTAAGCTCCTTGTATCACATGTTGTGCGAGATAAAAGCCCAAACCAGGATCTTCAAAGTACCCCAGCAAACGAGAGGCACACGTACCAAGCCCACCAATATCTAGGGAAGGGCTCTCTTGCCTGCAAGGACGGTTTGGGAGCCATCAGATGGAACCCGCTCCTACATTCCCTTTGTGGCTAAAACACATCCCCTCTTTTGCCCAGAGAGAACCATATCCTTAGTCCCCAGCAGCAGACCCACTTCACCTACTCTGTGTCAGGGCATCCATCAACATCTCCGAAATCGCTCCGTCATTCTAAAGTGAAGACAATGATCCTGGGAAAACACTCCTACCAGTAAGGTTCTGATTCTTCAGCACTTAAGTTAGCATTTCGTTAGCTCAGGGGTACAGCAAGCTCTGCCGAGCTATTTGTTCCACAGCCTCAGTCATTCAGAAACAGACTGGCAATAACTCTGCACTGTGAGTTTATCAGAACTTTCACAGGAAAAAATGCAAACAAAAAAGTGACCCATGTCTTACCATCAGCTGAAATGCCCTTTTTGTTGCCAGTACGCTTTACTGTTTCCCAAGTTCTGTTTAACGGAGAGAAAAGAACAAATGAATACATTAAATGGAACAATACCAATTTTATTTGTAAGTCTTCGCCTACGCTTGCTACTGTCATTTAAAAGCAGAATACACAACCACAGAGTGAGACCCCTGAAGAAAACAGCTGGCCTTAGGCAAGCCCTGTCACATATTGACACTATAAAATGTCTGTAGTATAATTCAGGCTTGCCTGCTTGAAGGAGGGAGAGAGAAAGACATAAATGATTGTCACAGAACAGGTAAGTTACAGAAGTGATCCTGGAAAAGTGCAAAATAAAGGAATTCATATATTAAACATGCCAGATGTTGAAAGACAGTTTTGTAACACAACCATGTGCATTGTTTTACCTTGGTTTTGCACAAGGTTTATAGCGTAAGTTATTGTGAACTCTCAGCTCAGTTATTTGAGCACACGAGGAGCACGTAGGCAAGGAAGACCAAAGCTTCTCTCTCAAAATAAGCAATGGGATGAGTAAAACCAGCAATAAAAAGCCTTTCACAAAAGCTCTAATCTTTGCTGTTTTTTTAAAAGGATACTTTGCTGATGAACTGGGAGGCACTAGAGAAAGTGATCAGTACAGAATCTAAGACGTGAAGAGGAGGGAAGCAAAGCCGTGTCATCGCATCTAGGTAGGTACAGCAAAACTAAAGCACGGAAAAGAATTGGGCAGGCGTGACAATATAAAAGAGGACAGTGATAATATACAAGAGGACAGTTACTTGTCAGTAGTATGCAAGATCCAGCACCATCGGCAGAGAAAAAGCAACCCTTAATGAAGAACCAGAAAAGCTGAGGGAGGGGCTCTCTGATCATCCTGGTTTATTTGCGTAGCTAGAACTTGCTTCTGCATAGCGTCTTCACAAGGAACAGAAAATGCAAGGCAAACCAGGGTCCAATGGGCCCAGAAGAATTTAGGAGCCAAATTTGATCCTACAGGCTAGCACATCTGCCAAGAGTAAGATTTTTTTGTTGTTGTTGTTCTCTGAACAGTACAAATTGTAAAGGAATCCTACAATGAATAGATCTCATCTTCTGTTAAGCAATAGGTCTGTAATGCTCATATTCTCTAGCCTGGGGCTAGTCCGCACAGTTGGGAACATTATAGGAATCTGGAAAGCCAGAGGGGCAATTACCTGGTTTTACCAAAGGGATCAGTGTAAGTTGTTTCTTCAAGCTTCAACCATTTTCTTTCTACAATTACCTACAATAAAGAATTCTTTGTTAAATACATTATAAGATTAATCCCAAAGATATTCGGATGCTAAGGGGAAAAACAACACAACTATTTTTGGATTCTTTTGAAGACAAAATCTCAGCATCAAAATACATGCTGAAACATGCAACAACATTCCTGTAGCTATTGCGGAAAAACACATTTACTCCAAGTTCTTGAATAGGAATAGAAAATAAGCCCAAAACCTTTTCTTAATGTGACTTTATAATCATGTTTCAATGAATTCAGTGGGATTTTATGTACTGGGAAGCCCTCATCTTTTTAGAAGGATTTTGCAAAGTTCACGTTTCAGCTGAAAAAGGGTTGCTGGTCTGCACGGGCTGTAGCTATGCTGGTGATTACGAGTGCCCACCTACCAGAGAGCACAGCCTGATCACTAAGCATGCAAGACTGAAATCCAAACTATTTTGAAACTTTTCTTGCCGTGATTGCAGTCTATGTCCTTGTGTAACTGCTGTTTTCTGTAACCGCAAGCAGTGATACATACCTGCCCTTTTCGGATTTCTCAGAGCTGCTGACTGAGTACTTGGCATTAACATCATTACAAAATGTCTTCTCTGAGCTAGATGAGTTTATTTTTCCCTGTGATGTTTACTCATCTTTTATGTAATTCCTTTAAAAGGGAAAAATCCATGGGTATTAGCTCAGCAGTTTACTTCTTTCAGTGTAACTTGTATTTTAAGCTTTGGTAAAGGTATAGTCAGACAGGAAGCTTATCTCCAGAATTTTGTATAAAGTTGGCCATAGGTCTGACCACAGAAATCAGAAGTAATCAGTAAGAGGAACGAATCACTTCCTATTGTCTAACGAGACACACTGCTGATAACCAAGGAGGAAAGAGAATCTGAGAAAAAAAAAAAACAAACCCAAAGCAGCATTAAATTGTAGCAAAAGGCTGAATTCGTGTGGTTGGCACACTACAATCCCCTAGTGCAGGGCAAGGAGCAAAGAGGGCCCATGTGGCCATGTAGAGCTTGAACTTAAAACCAAGAGATTCACCAACTAAAAAAAAAAGAATGTAGAGGCATGAAATGTAGAACGCAGCTACCACTAGAGCACAGAAGCACAGCAGCACAGCATCAGCTGGAGGCAGAAGGCAAATCAGAAGTGATTCAGGTGTCCAGTGAATTATAACTGAGCTGGATGAACTCAAGTAATTCTTAAAATGTGTTCTTCAGAACAATTATTTTGATAGGCAATTGAACTAACAATAGCACTCCTATGGTGGTAAACGAGGTTACACGTATTTTACATATAGGAGTTTTGACATTTGTTATGGAAAGTACAGCATTTCCACATAACAGCAATTGGAAAAGGAGAGCTGTGTGTTCTCAGAAGGGCTTTCTAATGGCTTTGTGGTCACAAAAAAGCAGGAAAGGAGAAGATGAAGTATATTATGCTCATTACAGGTAGAAGAAGTAATTCCATTCGGAAGCATTCAGTTTTATTTTAAATAGCTTTGCATTTACTCCCAAATCACTGCAGAACTAGAGTACAGGAAGATCCAAAAGAGAAATAGCTGAAAATCAAGTTCCATTGGTTGTCCAAGGAGAGGAATATATATACTTCAGTTAAGTAAACACAACCAGATGTTTTGTGTTAATGAATTTTTTTAAAACATTGCAGAGAACACAAAAGACTAGATTATTGATTGTGGTCGCATATTGCTGCACCATTCAACAGAACTGGCGGATCATTACCCCTCTCATCAAGTTATTGTTTGCTAAGGAGAAAGGGCAAAATGGCCAAAATCAGAACCATATCACTGTCCCCAGGAATCCTTGAGGAAAAAGAAATCCCCAGTCTGTAAGAAATTAAACCTACACAAACTCCAAAAAAAAAAAAAAAAAAAAAGAAAAAAAAAGAAAAAAAGTGGGGTTTATGTATACAAAACAAACAACATCGAAGTGTCCTGTTTTTAATTAGATATTTCTAAGTACACCTTTGGCCTCTACTGTCATAGAGCAATAATTAAAAATTACTATAGGACATGTAGCATAAATATTTACAATGGAAGTGCTCCACAATCCTCTGAAGTTTGGTGAAACTCTAGATGCTAACAGCCTACAGGGTGGGAAAACTGAAAGTTGCCAGGTTTCCCTAGAAGAAAAAGAACTCTGTCAGCCACCTCGTTGGGTGCACAATTCAAACCTGCGGAAGCTGGCCCAGAAGCGTAACTTCTGCTTTGCTAAATCCCCTACTTGGGCCCGACCTAAGGACACTTTGCAGGATGTGTTGCATTTACCATACTCAGGTTTAGAATGAGCTATTTTTATTGCTTTATTACTTTGATGGGTAAATAGCATCTGCTTTTGCTTACAACAGCCTGACTGTGGGTTCCCAGAAATGGAAAGAAGGAAATAAGATTAGCCACTACTTTCATGGAAGGAGATATTCCAACACCAGACCACGTAGTTACTGAAGTGTTACAGAACCACTTTTAATATATGGGCCACTGGCAGAGGCACGGTAAACGCTCTCCTGTATTAATCCCACAAAATGACAGAAAAAACTAAATAGCTTAAAATATGCAAGATCTAATTACAAACTTCCAATGTACCAAAGAGTACAATATTCCAAAGGAGAAGAACTAAGAGACATTATGGGGAAAAAAAAACCAAAACCCAGAGAATATAATGAAAACGTTACCTGCAAAACCACAGGTCTTAACGGAAAACCCAAAAAGCTTACAAAAATGAAACGCTCTATGCTTGAGAAATATTCATATTAAAAAAACACCTAAGGGGAAAAGCCATAAATATATCCCAACAATGTGAGTCTCTTCTTTCCTGAAAAAGTTTTGTACCTTGAAACCTAAAGAAGTTACAAAACTGTGTTCATTCCAAAGAAACTACATTTGTGTTACAACAGCGTGACGCTGTTGCCAAACCTGCCTTTTAACACCAAAGATTAACTTTTAAGAATTCACTTAAAAGAGAACAGAAGCAAGTATAGGCAGTTTAAATTAGGGTGAAAATGCTCTAATAAGCACCCAGAAGCATCCCCAAATTCCTCCCTCAGGACCTGATCTTTTCTGATTCTGTGAAGACACGAGCACAGTATTTTTGAAAAAATCTTACCACCGCCTTACTAATGTCTTTAGAACAACAATTATCTAAATTCAAAGCCTTTCAGAAAGCATCAAAGATGGTACAATCCTAAACATTAAGGCAACTCTTAGTGGTTCATCATCTTAAAGGAACAGAAAACAAGGCTGAGTTTCATGATCGACCCATTTGTACAGTCTCTCAGAGGTATCAGCATTATTTCTGAACACTGAAAACAGTCTGAACAAACACAAGAAACAGCTGCAAAATTCCCCCAAAAAGAAGCTTAAAATAATGCAACACTGTAGATTTCTCTCTCCCCATCAATAAGTTGCACAATTATTTCAACGAAGAGAAATGCCACCTTTTTTAAACTCTCTAACCATCAGGAAGCGTTTTGTCTCTCGATTAGATTTTACAAACTTGCAGCATCTATAGCATTTCTTACTCCGCACTCGCAAACATTCTGATCGGTCTTAAGTAACTGTCATTTAACAACAAAACATGTCAAAACCAAGCATGTTATACCTCTTCTTTAAGGACGAACTGTCTAGCAGTTTTTGGAACTTCTCTGGATGTCTCAGCTGCCATTTTCAGGAACGTCAGGCTTTTCCCCTCCTGTGCAAAGTCCAGATTACTATGAAACAAAGTCAATATTTGCTCTCAGAGTAAAGTTAAAAGGTTCCCTTCTGCATTCTAAATCAACAAATAAAACTTGCTGCAGAAAGTTAGGGACATGTAATGGCACGTGCAGTTCACATTTTCAGCTCCACCTGATGGTTTCAGAGCCAAATAATTCAAAGGAGAAGCGGAAGTTTGGGTCGAATCCCTGACTGACTTATTTGTAATAGTCCTATCAGCTGCCGAGTAACTACGCTGGCTGAAGACACCCTCCTTAACTATTCAAAGGTCAGACACACGCAGGGACAAAATTGATCCATTTCAGACAAATTGTTTCATCCTGATCTGGGTGAAGTGCTCTGTCAACACCGCATTACCACAACAGGACTACGCACTCCACTGTGAAAATGGAAAAAAACCTTATACCAAGAGGTCTAAGCAGTAAAAATTGTCTGCTATTGAGAAAGAATCAGAACTAGAACCTGCTTCCCCCTTACACACACCACAAATAAACACGTAAATGACTCAATCCTTCCCCCAAAATACAAAGTCAGAAAGCATGTTGCAAGTCTAGGTGGCATGCAGAGTTAGCGTGGCCGAAGCACATCAGTCTCTTTTACTGGGAATGATGTGGCTAACACGGTGCAAAAGGCAGTTGAACATATGCCCAAAACACGGCTCTGCACCTGCAGCTCAAGGCCTCTGCCTGCATCCTAACTGTCCCTAGGAAGGTAAGATTGTCCACTCACTCTCTCAATCCAGTTCTAGCTGAAAGGCACAGCAGGCAGCAGAAAAACACGATGCATTAGAGGTTCACCATTAGTCCCCTGTCTCGCTGCAGAGCTACGGGTGCTTTCAGCACAGAAACCCTTATTCCAAGGAAGCTCATCTCCGAACCCAAGTTGCAATACCGAAGTCCTGAAAGTCAGCATGAATCATAAGCAAAAAGACAGTGCAAAGAAGCAAACCAGTTTAAACACCAGGAGAGACAAGATAAACTCAAGGATCTCTATCACTCTTAGCGTCAAAGGTCATAAACTTTCCATAAACTCAACAGGAACCTTCTCATTAACTTCAGCTAGGGTTCAGTAAGGCTCTGTGAGGTCTCTAGCAATGAACACTACCAGAAGTGAGTGATCACCACCTCTACCCAATTTTAGCACTTTCATTTTTTACTTCACCTTTATCCTTTTATGATAACATCTACTACACATTTGTGAAACATTTAAGAGCATGTAGCAACAATCTGCTTTCTCACATGCTAGATTTGCATTTAATTCCACAAAGTAGCTAAAAGGAATAGGTAGTACAAAATATTTCTGGTTATCAGCAGAATTAAAACTATCATACGTAAACCCATTTCCTCATTATGTACACGGGGGGCTCTTTCTTAAGTCTCAAGGCAGTCATCTTGGATGAAGTAGGTCATAGTGGTCAAACGTTCAAATTGTTTTTATGTAACATAAGTCCTGAAAAGGAACCCTGACCTATCAAACCCAATTCTGTTCTTTCAAAAATATGTTCTATAATCCTTTCTTACAGCAATTAAGTTCCATCTTAAAGCTATATAGGTTTACTATCTACCTTACTAGTATTTGTATGAAAAACTGTTCTAGAACCTCACTTGCTTATCTTCCAATTTCTATCCCACTTTAGTTCAGTCAGCTGTTACCCATTTGTTCTTGAGCCAGCAATGTCTCAAACTCTCTTCACTTAGGATTTAAGAGCTGTAGCTGGACAATGGCCATGGTCTCTTGCTGTGACCCCAAAATGCAAGATCAAGCTTTCCACGAAACTTATGGAAAAGAAGCGCAGCCCAGCAGGGCAGTTCCAAGAAGTTCCTGGTCGTCCAGAGGAAACAGTCAAGGGAGGCTCTGTGTGATGCCTGAACTATCCAGCTTTAAAAATATAAAACCCTCACATACCTAGCTACAACAAATTCACCTCCTGCTTCTGGAAAGAATTCAAGCCTTTTTGACTCACAATACAAACCTATCAAGAGAGTAGTTAGCGACCCGTATCCTTGTGAAACTTTCTTTTTTTTTTTTGATTGGGCTGAGTAAGTCTTGCTCTTTTAGTCTCCCTGCACAGGAAATCCTGTTCCACTGATCATGCTAACCCTTCTACATAAGCTTGCAAGTATCAGCATATCTTCCTCAAACTTGGATTACTACAGTGGTACCCTAAATCCCACAAGCAGCTACAGTAATGGTTTGGACAACAGTATTAATGCTCACCTATCTCAGTTACTAGAACCTCATCTCATGGCAGAAGCTGTTTACAACACAGCTTCCTCTCTTCTGCAGCACAGAGATTGAAGGGTGGCTTGCAACTCAAAATAACAAAAAATTATACAGCTTCAGTGGCTTGAATTATCACTAAAATCTAAAATAGGCAAAAATAAGAGGAAGACTCATCTAGCTTAGCTTCTGTAATCTTGATCTCTTCCACAAGTGGGTGCAATAACTCTATGTACGAGTGACATTTTTTAAAAGTTCCATCAAAAAAGTATTTTTTTTCAAATCGAGTTGACTGTTTAGAAGTCAGATTTTCTACAGTCAGAAAGCTGAAATACTATTTGGTTTAAATGAAGGCTGCAATTCTGGTACCTCACATTAGTGGTACTGTGAAGGATGGCAACACCTTTTGCTTGTAAACAAAATTAGCTGCAACTGAAAATTAAACAGAACGCTACAATATTGTGTTCCTAAAGCCCTACGTCAGGTTTCAGAACAGACCTTGTCTCACAGCCCTCAGACAGGAAGGTTATTCCATCTCATAAAACTACCACTGCATCATTTGAGTTAAAAATGCAACACAGCTCACACAGCAGCTGGGAACCTGACATAGGATTACATGAACTGGATGAATATAAATTTTTAACAGTCATTAGTGCAATTTTAAGGGTATGTCCGAGTGTCCAAATTTATCAGCCTTCTTAGCACAAATCGACAGCACTTGAACTATCAGTTATGGAAAAAAAAAAGCTTGGCTTGCTTCTCCCTTCTCTGATGATTTTTGTGGCTAGTATTACAGGCTACTGCTGGCAAACCATGTTACATGCTCCGTTTCTCTCATACGGAGGTCAAACTCGGAGCTGAAAAAGGCGTACCATTTATAAAAGGTATAACTTTATTCCCATTGCTTCCTTTCAAGGCAACATCCAACCATTTTACAGTTTCCAAATTCTCCTTCCCAGGAGTTAAAATCTTAAGCCAACTGAGGCCTGTGAATCACCTTAGAGAGCAGCCAAGCTATCGGGGAGTTACATTAACCTACCCAAGCCACGACTGGTGGATTCGCTTTTCCAAATCACTTCTTAAAAGATAATTCTCTGATCCAAACTATGCATCCCAGACAACAACAACCAGATTTAATGGGAGCTCAGCAATGGTGTCCTAAGGCAAGCTCAAGAAAAAACCAAAATGCAGGGTTTCTTATAAAGAATGTGCCGAAGGGACACTGGCAGTGCTTCATGCGCGATTTAACCAGCAGCACACCGAGATACTTGCGCTGAAGATAAACGTCACTAAAAGCTTCTAAGTCACTTTAAACTCGTTACCATCAGTCAGTGCACTTGCATTTCAGCAACAGGATTCTACCAACAAAATCAGTTAATTAGCAGAAGTTGACGGGAGAGAAGGAAAAAGTGGGGGAAAGGTTTCATTTTTGTCATTTAGCAGCGCGGATGACCTGCTCAGCACCAAATAAAATATGGAAAAATAACTGGTTCTCGCCCCGCAGAACAGACAACAACAACAACAACGACTATCTCGCATCAGCAGAAGGGGGTTAGCAGCATCTCCGTGTTGCCATCAACCTTCCAGACAAGTGAGGGGGCTTGGGGAGGCAGCCCCACAGGGCGGATGCGAGGAAAGCAACCGGATGGCAACGACTCGGCCCTCCACGCAGGCCCACACAGGCACAGAGGCGACGGCAGAACCCCGGGGCTCAAACAAAGCACGTTACTCGGTTATCGCTTGCCTCTCCCCAAAACAGAACGAAATGCAGCCCTGCCTGGAGGAGAGAGAGAGCAGGCTCTGTCGCCGTAGGGCTCCGTTACCGCGCTGCAGAGAGGAAATCTTACACAGGCGCAGGCAGAGCAAGAGAAAA